GGGGTTCTAAGTAGGGAAAAACCCAAGAAGTAGTCTGTAGTCCCTTGTAGCTATTATGCAAAGAGAAGTCATTCCAATTTTGACTTCCCTTTCCATTTCCTTGTCTGTTTGACTCTTGAGTATCCAGTGTTTACATCTATCTATACATCATCCTGATTTTCAGTTCACTTTGAATCCCCTTTTCCGTTTGCGTCCGCGTGGTTAACGCCAAGCCCCAAATCCTAAAGACAATGCTGACCTAGATCAGCACTGCTTTCTGCGCTTGAGACTCTGGTCCAGTTTTTCTGAAGGAATCTGTAAGCTTAAATTTCCGACCCCTAAACCCAAAACCCTAAACCCATGGAATCTACAGCTAGTTTTTCTGCAGGATGATGCAGTCAAAGAGCAGGAAATCTTCTTCCAGCCGTGGCAGGCCGAATGTGGGAAACCACCTGATTTGAAGGTTTCAGGGGTCCGTTGCTATCGGACAGGACAAATTGTGTTTGGTGTTGCAATGATAGGTATTAATGGTAGCAAGAATAGTACCCTGAACTCCTAAACCCTAAGCCCTAAGTATTTATCTGCAGCACTTCCAGAGGTTGGCGGAAAGGATCCCAACCAGAAACTTCTAAACCCGATAGCCATAAAACCTTTACGGGTCTCGTGCAGCCAAGGTTCAATCAAGTCCGGAGTGTTGATCCTTGTTGTGTCAGTGTCCTTTGGTAGGGTTTGGGGCAAAGGGCTTGGGTTTCTGACAATAGTAGCTTCCATTTTCTTTTCCATTATCCCCAATATGACCCCAACATAACCCCAAAAGGGGCGAGAATCAACTGGAAAATGAAAAGGCAACTGGATTTGTGGCAGTGTGTGTATCTTTGCGGAGAGCGGTTTAGGGTTTAGGGGTTTAAGGTTTAGGGGTTTAAGGTTTAGGGGTTTAGGGTTTAGGGGTTTAGGGTTTAGGGGTTTAGGGTTTAGGGTTCTGATTGGTAATGAGATTTTCTCCCGAGCGCTCCAAAAAGCCCTCGTCCGAACCCGGTGGCTTTGCCAATATTCAGACCTGCTTCAAGCAGACATGGCCAGAAAGGCAGACATTGGGATTTCCCAAATTTAGGAGTACCTCTTTAAGGGTCCCAATAATTAAAGTAGTTTTGGGCCTATATTGGGGTCCGCTTCTTTAGGGAAACTACCACACGGTAGTTTCCCATACTTGCTGGACTCATCGGTATGTCCGAATTCCTGGGTCGTCCCACAAGGCTAGGATCAACTACAGTGGATTTGCGCTGGGTCACCTGAAGCCGAAACGCAGATCCACACCCAAATCATAAATTCCCTGGATGAATTAATGTTACTCCAATTGCAATTATTCTTATTATATTATCGTTGCTGTTCGTTTCATTAGCATTATGCCTGGTCTTACTATTGTACCCAAAAATCCAACCTAGACAGGCTGCAAATTCGGTTCCTGCTCCATTTTTTCTTTTCCACGAGAGCAGATGTGGTTACCACAGTCTCTCTAAACTCATTTGGTAGATTCCCGAAATAGGGGGATCCCAATATACACCCTGATATCCTATATTCCTTATTATGGGGACCCCCAAAAAGGTACCTCTAATTTTGGGCAACCCCCGTCTGTACATCCAGTTTCCTTTTATTCTCCAATATTACCCTAAATGTAAAGATATAGATTCATATATACAGTTATTCTTCTCCTACAACCCTTTTGATGGACCTCGGTTTTCCCAGAGCTCGTGCATCGGAGGAACCACACCTTTCGGGCTTTTAAACCCACACCCTACACCCCAAACTCCAAGACCCAAACCTTGAACCCGAAACCCTACACCCCAAACTCTACACCCTACACCCCAAACTCTGCTTAACCTCTCGTGGGGAAGGCCTGGTCACCCGACGACGTTCGCAGACGAGCACGGCGGCGACGACAGCCCAGCAGGCCCACAAAATGGGGTATTAGGGTTTAGGGTTTCGGGTTTCGGGTTTAGGGGTTTAGAAGGTAACATCAAACAGAACAACAAATTGAAAAGGAGGTGGAAGCCTAGGCTTTTAGGGATGGTTTAGGGTTTAGGGTTTTAGGGGTAGTTTCCCAAGATAAGGGGGACCCCAATATAGACCCAAAAATACTATAATCCTTATTATGGGGGCCCCCGTAATTTTGGGAAACCTCCACATGGAAAAGGAAACGGAAGCCGAGGTCCCTTAAAAGATCTTGAAAGGCGTTTTAGGGATATATGAGCTATAGTCTAAACTCCTTAATTGGGGGTTATATAGGGGGTTATATAGGGAACTACTATAGGGGTTATTAAGGGGGATACTAGGAGTTTAGAAAATGGCTCATATGAGTTCAGGGGAATAATGGAGACTAGGACGGACCATGCAATGGAAGCTGGGTTCATCAAGGGGTTTATGGGGATTGTAATGGCTACTTGGATGTTCCTGGGCTAGACATTGGATAATTGCATTTATAGCTGGACATGGGAAGGTATGTCAATGCCATCTTTTAGGGTTTAGGGTCAGGGGTGGGGAGGTTGATCATCATGAGCCGGAGGGATTTTGGTAGCCGCAGCCATCGTATGAGGTATAGGACGTAAAGTCACAATCATTTTCCCTATTAGCATTGTGTTCATTGAAATGATATTGTTTATATGCTGCCATGGTTGATCATCAGATGTTGCAGCCCTAAATCTTGAACCCTAAGCCCTAAACCATAACACTGGCTTAGCGGGAAAATTGTCCATGGTTAGGTTAAGGCGCTAGACAGCTTCCAGGGATCCCATTGATGCTTCATTAAGGAAGGTTACAGGGGCCATCAGTAGTGTTGCACAGGGTCTAGAGGGAGGATCCTGGGATTCTAATTCAGGCATATTTGATCCTGCGGGTTGGAGTTGACAACTGGAGGGCCAGGCGACTACTTCGCAGCTAGCTTATTGGCATGATCGCAAATATCTGGCGGTGCTGTAACTTAAGTGATACCCGGCACTCTTTCTACCAAGTCCTACAAACACGCAGCAACACCTGGGGCCTTGCGTAGATATCAGCCAAGCAAGCTGTGGAAAGCTGTGGAAGCTGCCTCCTCCAGAGTCTCGGCTTTGAGACATGTGGGTGGTTGTCAAAATTATGGCCCCTTTTTGGGTACCCTAAATATTAGGGGCCGTATTATAATAGGGACCCAAAAAGGGACCATAATTTTGACAACCAGCCATGTTTTTTTGGATAGAATTGTGCCGCATCCTACGATCCCTTACATGTTCTGTTCAAAGATGTTTCTCGTAGACTGGCATAAATCAAGTTCATGCACAGGATGAAAGCTCCCCCCTGAAGTTTCAGAGATTGAGCAGTCAGCGGAAATTTTCAAAAGTCGCAGGGCAATGATAATTCTTTAATGGACTTCCCACCACCTGAATATATTTCCGTTATACAGGAGGGGGATAGTTACCATTGGTGACTGGGTGGTGAGGTGTTTACAAAGCACACATTTTCAGCTCTGGTAGTACACCAAGTACTGTCTATACACCATCAGTTTCATGGGGCAACCTTTCAAGCACCATCAGTTCTCTCAGTTGTCGCTAGCATAACAGTGATGCTTTTGCCGATGCTCACAATCCTGCATGACGTTAGTTCAGCAAGTCTCCACCAGCCCAATGTATAAGGTACCGAGGGTCACGCGGGATTCTCCGTATCAATCGATCCACAACCCAAGACCTAAAACCTGAACCTCAAACTCGGAACTCTGAACTTTTCAGCTCTGACATGTATCCTCAAGCCCTAGACCCTAAGCCCCAAACAAAACAGCTTTAACCTAAGGCCCCAAACCCTTCACACTAACCCGTGAACGCTTTCCACAGTAGTTGCCCTTGAAGCCAGCAAAAGGCCAGCAACCTCCATTGAGGACAGCCCGGGCACAGAGGTTGGGCTAAGGAACCATAATATAGGGGTTAAGGGACCAGAAGATAGGGGTTTAGGGTTTAGGGTTGATGGAGCGGTATATAGGGTTATGTTAGGATTTCATCTGGTTATAGTGAGATTATATAGGGTTCTATAGGGGTTTTAGCTCAGGTTTAGGGTTTAGGGTTCCTATTCAGGAATTTAATCTAAGTTACCAGTGAGGGAGAACAAAGTGAGAATGATCAAGGATGACAAAAAGGAAACACACAGTAGGGTTCAAAGCTAAGTGTTGACGGTAGTGATTGGGGTATACAGGGGTTACATAGGCATTAATTGAGGGTTTTATAGGGTTTAGGATAGAGCTATGAAGGCAAAAAAGAAAATTAAGGAATGGAAGCTGGGAATACATTGGGTGTAGAGGAAATGATGCCGAGATACCGTGATAGGGTCAGATGGTAGATTATATGGCTTTTCTTATAGTCGTAATTTTAATTACCGTAACAGAAGCGCAGAGGCACTGACTGCTTCTCCTGCGTGTTGTGGATTTTTCGATGCCTATGCTCTTTGCTTGGGTGTAGAACTGAGGCTTTTAGATATACTGTCTGAGGTTTCAAGCTTAGGGCCCGGAATGGGGGAGTACAAAGGAATCTGCCAGATTTCCGGTTAACGGGCCCACGGGGAAGCTTTTTGAAATCAGGTCCAGCGGATTCTTGTGGATTCGTCGGCATTGAACTACTAAGGAAAGTGATTTTCGACTGCGGCACATGTTGAGATACTAAGAAAACGTTTCTGCTCTTTGGGGGCCTTTGCGCTGAGGATTGTTTGGGGGGCATTCGACACCTTCGTGTCAGACAGTGCTTACTGGCTCAGGGTTGTCAGACACCGGTTCTGGCAGACAGCAGATTCAGTGGGACTAGTGGTGAAATGTCTTTTGAGGAGCAATTGGTTGTATGATGTGGTTCTTACTTTACATGCGAGGATTTCAGCCAGAGTCGTTTGAGGCTAGGACTGAATGGGTTCAGGGTTTTTGCGTTTGCAAGCCTGTCATCCAATTGACTCGAGAACCCCACTGTAACCTCGACAGCCCCAATGGGCAACCCTAAACCCTAAACCCTCCTGCAGAGGCACTGGCAGCGGCAGAGACGTGGATGGTACTTTCCCCTGTTGGACGAGCGCAGGTCGTAAGAGACATTCTCACCTTCAGCTTCGTGACAGTGGACCCCATGGGTTCGAGGTAACAATGTAGGATCAATGGGAAGAGGGAGTGACCTTGCTGACCTTAAAGGCAATACCTAGCAGCCGAAATGACATTTGATGAGGCGGGTGGGGTGGGGTCTAACATCCGGGAATTAGGCAGATCCAGATCCAGGATGTCAGAGTATTTCATGTGAGCGTAGCTGACACAATCACAGCGATTCTCATCCCAGTTGTCTTCACGACGCCCTCCCCCCCCTGCCGGAATAAAAATGTCACACCGGTAAAGCTACGAAGAATCAGTCTCACATGCCATCATCCCCTTGCCTACTGAATCGTTCATGGGACACAGGGTTCAGGGTAGAGGGTTTAGGTGATTACAAATTAGGTTTAGGGCTTAGTAAGGGTTTAGGTAATTGGAAGGAGGCCCCCAAGTGTCCCTGAATGACATTCTGGGGGAATCGCGAGTGTAACTTGGGTTACCCAGTTCTTTGTACTTTCTAAATCCCATGAACCTGGAAGTATCCTGCAGAGGACCTAGCCTCAAAAATCCAAAACCCTGAACACCAAGCCCTAAACCTAAAGCCCTGATGGAGAAAAGGTCCCACAAAAAACCTAAAACCCTAAACCCCAAACCCCAAGCCTTACCCGGCAGAGGACCTCACATTCCTGCCTCTCCGGGTCTTCCAAGAGGTGGGGGTTGCCAAATTACAGGGATAGGCGGATATATGGGGTCTGTATAGGGTTAATGGAAAAGAAAATGGAAGCTACTTGGGTTTTTTACGGATATATGAGCCCCCAAAACGGAGAATCAAATGGAAGATAAAATGGAGAATAACATGGAACCTCGGGATACATAGTCGTTTAAAGTTTCCCAAAATTAGGGGATCCCTTTTGGGGATCCCTATTTTAAGGGCTATAGTACGTCCATATCGAGTTTCCCCTAATTTGGAACATTGCCATGAAATTCTTCCTAGAATAAGGACTACCGTGTTTTTTCGCGGGCACTAAACCCTAAACCCTATACCAGGTCTCTCCAGGATGGGTCCTTTGGAGCCTGCTTTGGATGTCTCAGACTCTGGGCTCCGGACATCCAATGATCCCACTTCCTCATTCCGTGCTGTTACCCCAATATACATCCTAAACCCTAAACCCTATTATCATGTCGTAGTTTCCGCTTTTCTTTTCCGTTATATTCCTTTGGTTGGATTTGGAAGCAACCCTAAGCCCCAGACCCTTCATCTGAGATCCGAAGTTGAGGCTCCTAGTATATTTGCAGGGAGTCTTGGGGCCTTTCAGGGCCTATTGAAGGTTCTATGTTAGGTATCTATCCATGGTTCTTCTCCTTAGACAAAAGAGCTTGGAGTTCAGGACAATAATAGGGTTTTTGGCATGGGATCTCGATTTTAAGGCCTTCTGGTAGTAATAGCGTCAAGATCCTTTCGGCCAGGACTTTACACTGTGAACCTAGGATTTATTGGAACCTTCACATGGTGGTGAGCTTCAACACCGGGTACTACTTTCGGGGACATTTGGTACGCGATCGGAACAGGATAGCCCAGCACTACCTTCGTACTTTGTTCTTCTTCGATGCCCTAAACATCACCGTCGACTGGCTGCTGGCAGGTTTGGATACTTCCCATAACTTTGTTTCTCACGTTCTCTTCGAAGACGTGAGTATGACCGTGCTGTGCCTATGGGTGCTTCAGATGTGCCTGCGGCTATGTCGCATGTTCATGTCTTTTAGCAAGCTTGCGGTTTCGGACACCGTTCGTGTCCAGTGGGTCATTACTAGGACGGTAGGCCAGATCCTGTTGACGCACCATGTCATGGCATGTGCCTGGTACCGCATTGGCTCTGCTTCAGCCAGATATGGCTGGACCAAAGCAAACGGCTTGGATGATACAAGTCTATCCTACAAGTACACCACATCGCTACACTGGACCTACTGCCAGCTTGGATTTGGCTCGTCTGAGATTGAGGCGGTGAATACTGCTGAGAGGGTCTTCTCGCTTCTAGTGGTCTTCGCTGCTTTGGTTGTTTTTTCCACTCTGCTAGCTGCGATCACCAGCCTGGCCACAAAGCTCAACAAGGCTTCCGAGCGGAAGCAGGAACACTTCAGGCAGCTCAGGAAGTATTTGAGGCAGCATCAGATCGAGGAAGATTTGCGGCTGCGTGTTGTGGCATTCCTGGAGCATGCCTACACGCTGCGCCAAGCGGTCGTGGCGGATAGTGAAGTTCCCATTTTGGACTTACTTTCCAAGCCGTTGCAGGCCGAACTGAATAGTTTCAAGTACATGAAATGTCTTCGTGAGCTGGACGTAATGAGGCAGCTTTTCCAGACATTCGACCAGCACTCGGTCCAGGCCATCAGAAGCCTTCCCAAAGCCTTCTCCCATAGGACGCGCACTGAAGCAACATCTTAGCTACAAGAAAAAGTTTTTTTGTCAACCAAATCTCTCTGCCTCTCTGCTCCTTAATTGGTCATTATCTTCCGCAGGACATTTGCTCCAGCGGACACAGTGTTCGAGTGCGGCTTGTTGGCCAATTCTGCTTACTTCGTCGCCGAGGGCGAGTTCGTCTACGAGTTGAACGGGGAGATGATCAGCGTTGAGAATGGCCGGTGGGTGGCTGAAATGAGTCTTTGGACCCCATGGCTCCATCTCGGAGACTTGACCACGAGGGACATCTCTGAAGTGATCGTTCTGGATGTGTCTCACTTCGCCGACACTCTCAGCCGCTCAAGTGAGAGCTTCCTTAAATGCCAGGAGTATGCCGAGCAACTTACTGCGCGAATGAACGAGGAGAGAATCCTGACAGACCTGTGGCGTTGTGAGGTGAACCCCGCACGGTCGGGCTCTGACAACCTCCGTGGTAGTGTGAGCCTGGCAGCTCGCCTCAGGTCGTCATTTACCAGGCACGTTCTTCAGTCGCCCAACCAGATCGTGCCAGTAGGCTGAACAGTTTCAATACATCATTTGTCGCAAGTGCTTGGGCCACAGGTGTTAGCTCAGATTCGTTGCACAAGTAGGTATGGAAACCCCCAAGTTCTGGGTTATTGCCCCTTTCTATCATGATCACGGATAACAATTCCTTTTTGGAATAACCACCTAGGTCGCAGCTGTCATGTCTGTGCCCATGCTCCGCTTGCTGTGCATTGCATCGCATACTGCATCCCAGTTTTTCCGCGTGCTTGGTTTCTGAAGGAGATGCCACTACCCTGTCCTTCGTGGATGGAGGAATTCTTGCACCACCCTATATGGCTTACACCCAGGGAAATTTCAGTATGGGGCTCAGAAGTGGTAGAAGATCTCCCTCCACGCGGTGTTTGCCTCAGTTTTCTCCTTTTTGGTGGGGTGCTGTTTGCCTCATTTTGGGGGATCCGGCTCTAGCTCCCCTTCAGTCGGAGAACGCGGCTTTCAAAGGCCCTTCAGCCTATCCCCGAAGTGTCCGGCAAAAGACGGTGCAGATTGCAGAGTGTCCATCCCATGCTGGAGTCTCGAGTCATCTTCTAGGTCCAAGTGTATCGAGTCTTGTGAAACAGTTGTGTTGGTGGAAGGTAGAGGTATGTCTGCACACACAGAACTCTTCAGGACAAGTAGCAGCAACTTGTCACAGTTATACAATGGTGATGCTGACCTGTGCTCCCATGAGCTCTCATTCTCTAGGGACAAGGGGTAGAGAGCATCCAAAGCATATGTTTCCCCAAACTTATTACATTGGTGCTCACTGTGGTTTGCTGGGGAATCAAAGGTTGGGTGCTGGACAATCGCAACTCCGCTGTCCCCGCTCATTGCTTGGAGAATTCCAAAGGTGAGCATCGTGCGAGACAATTACTTGCTTAGAGTTTCGCATGTCATTAGTATTACTGTTGCCACTACTATTAGTATCATGACTATTCTTCGTATTATGGCCATTATTCTTACTACTAGTATCATTACTAGGGTTTAGGGTGTGAGGCGTAGGATTTTCAGATTGAAGCAAGTTCCGGAAATCTCCCGACTGCTCAAGTTGTCTTAGGCTTTTTTTTCTCATCGCTCAACTGCGATGAGCGTTTCCAAAGACAGACAGGCACCATCTGCGAAATACTCCAGACAGGAAAGAAAAATGAGCATTTTCAAAAGCATTGGCCCGGCTGATCATGAAGCCCATCATTTTTCCCAGAGGCGTTTATATCCCACAGCCACTTGTATTTTCGGGGTTTTACTTGTAAACAGGGTCCTTCCCTCCAATATCAAAGCTTACCTGTCATCAGTCACATCGAGTTTTCATTGGCATTCTTACGTGTTGTTTTTTCTTTTACAGTGTGTTTCTTCTTCTTTTGCTGCTGTGGCGTTTGGCTTAGCATGTTGCCTTGGGTGGGCTGCCTTGACGGCATATCCCTCAGGGTGGCTGGTAAAGCAAGCCCTCAATCTTCGTGCTGTAGCCCCTGAAATCACAAATGCAAAGCCTTAAGCTGTGCTTGCTGAACCGCGCTGACACAGAACCATTATACTTGCATGCACCAGTTTTTTTAACAGGAAAGCCGCAAAGGCAAGTAGGGGCTTAATCGCTATTGAGTCAACCGGGGTAAGTTGTAGCCGAAGAATCCTTGAATCAGGCTTGGGCTGAAGTGCCTGAGGTTTGAAGTGGTCGCAGGGGTTAGGGTTTACGGGAGTTCAGAGCGTGTGCTTTGATCTGTCACCTGTCCTGCTCCACACCCAAGCCCTAACCCGTTGAAGGGATCTCGGAGTGTTAGGCTTCTTTACCCAGCCGAGGAAGCTACTTGAAGTGGTATTCGGGGTTTTCAAAACAGGGCTCCCTTTGTCACCTGGAATGCAGGTTCTGGTCTTCTGGGGTGTACAATGCAAACGTTACAATCCTGACTGTAGGAACTCACAAGGAACCCGTACCTACTGGACATCTCTGAAGGGCTCCCGCGTTATTCGCTTGAGATGCTCTTAGTACAGCTGCAGAATAGCCACACAGTCAAGGTTTGAGGGGCTCAGGCTTGAAGCCTGGGGTTTAGCGGTTTAGGGTTTAGGGGTTTAGAGGTATAGGGTTTAGGGGTTCAGAGGTTTAGGGTTTAGCGTTCAGGGGCATCCAGATAGCAGACTTCAGAAACCTTGTGCTGCCAATGCTAGACGGATAACACTACAAGAGTGCCAGTAAAGCATCGGCTCGAACAGTGAAGACAGGTCACAGCACAAAACGCTGTCAACAACATCAGCAGGGGTGAGCTGACGCAAGTATCACAAGATGATTTAGGGGACCCTCAGCTGGTGATAAGTGCAATAATAAGGAGGGCATAAGTTCTCTGACCCTGCGGGTAAACCTCAAACTCTCAGCCAAAAACCCTGAACTCTAAAGCCTAAACTCTAAGCAACATGCTTTTAGCAGCAGCTTGACGTCATGGCCTTCTGGCGGCCTGGTGCGTAGCCAGCCCAGCAGGGGCTTAGACTGATGAGGGTTCTGGATTTAGGCTGATTAGGTTGAAGGTGGAGGGTTCAGGGTGGTTGGGCTTGAGGGTTCATGATCTAGGGTGGTCAGGGTTCAGGGTTGAGGGTTGAAGGTGGGTAGGGCTTAGGATTCATGACTTTGAGCTCAGCATTTTGGATTTTGGACTTGGGACTCTAGGCTTATGGTTTCCTGCCAGGAGAACACCCGCGTTACCAAGAGAGTCTATAGTGTCTCTTGGTCTCAAATAGGGATTGCGCCCGTGTTTGGGTGTCTCAGGAATGGGAGGACTACTCTTTGGGACATTCTTTTTTGGGGGTGTATAGAGATGTAAGGTTGGCAGTTTACGTGTTCAGGGTAGCGTGTCTCAGTCAACATCAGGTTGTGGAGGTATACCCCTGAGGACTCCAGGGCTCAAGAGTATCGTGACGAGATTGCAATGTTTCTCTTGAAAGTTCTACAAATGTCACTTGTTTCTCTTGAAAGTTCTACAGATGTCATTTTGTCTTCGACAAGGCTGGATGAGAATTCTCAAGTTCACCTCGGGTTGTTTCATGCTTGGTGTTTTTGGGGTTCCTGGAGATGCGTGCCATGGAAGCTAGCACAAGCTGTGGAGCCAGCGAGATGATCCTTAACATGATTACGGGCTTCGTGGAGGTCTTTAAAAATTGCAGGCAGTAAGACGCATTCACCTGAAATTTATGCGACTTGATGGGAGGTACCATTTGGGTGTTGTACATGAGTTCAGGAGCATGTAGCATGAGGGACAAGTAAGGCCGAGCCTTGCAGTCGTCGGTTGAATCTGCGTTGCATTTTCTGTTTTCGGCCATCTGCATCGGAATGCTACGGGCCTTAACCATCGCGAGTGAAGTCATGTGTTTAGAGCTCCCAGGGGTTCGCAGTACAGGTGTGCTGCTTCTGCAGACGCAACCCCGAACCCCAAACTCCTAAATGATATCATAATCCTTACCATGGGTACCCTCAACAATGGCATTTTTTGGGAAACTCCGAAATGCCTTGCAGCTGGTCCAGCACCTTATCTTACTGGTGGTTAGTAGATAAAGAATACATTCCCTATACAAGACCAATATACTGTATTCCCTTATTCACCACTATCCCTAAAACCCTACAGCCTACATAAGTAAGTGAATAACTAGATATATGTATATGTATATATACATATGTAGATTCCAGTACTCCCTACTTACCATCAGTAAGTTGTCAAAGTTGCTCCTGAGGCCTCAGCCTGCACATGCAGATCCCTGGGTGCCCTGATGGAAACTGGAGGGGCTAGAGTAGGGGGTGGGGTTTTGGAGGTTTAGGGTTCTGGGGTTTAGGGTTAAGGGTTCTGGGAGCAGGGACTAGGCTTTGTGGGTGTCCTAAATAGTAGAGGCCTCAGCATCATAGGGGCCCACAAAAGAACCATAATTTCGACAACATGCAGGCTGTTTTTCTTACACAAGCTGAGAATCAGAGACTCGGCAGGTTTTTGCATCAGGGCCAGGGCTGATCTGGGACATACTAGCAGAATTACGATTCCTTGGTGCAAATTGGCATTTTCCATACATTGGGTTACATGTGTACATATACCCTAGAACTCCATAATCCTCCTTATAGGGTTTAAAGGGGCCCTCAGTTTGTTTTGACACCCGCAAATATCAGAGCCTTGCGTATGCTGGAGAGCTATAGCTGGAGGGACTTCTCATGCCCTACTTTCTCCTGGTGTTTAAGGGGGGGGGTGGATCCCTAAACTATCCTTCACTGGGGGGTTTCAAAGTTGTGGCCCTTCTTTCGGCATTTTTATCTTGGAGACTCCGATTGACCGGACATTGGGCACCTTTTTAGACAGAGAACCAATTGTACAGTCTATATAGTGTTTATGTTCACTCCCCACCCTAAACCTTACACCCCCACAGATCAGCACCAGCCAGACCTTGCGGTCCCTAGTCTGCGTTGAGGTTATTGATTTACGGTTTAAGCCTCATGACCGCTTACCCTCCAGAAAAGGGGCTCTGGATGAGTTCCATGCTAGTGTGAAGGGGGCGTAATCCTAGGCCCAGCTTCATGAGCCTTACATGGGGGTTTCCCAAAATTACCTACTA